CTAAGAAGAAAGCTGAATGAGGTTCAGAGCTTCTCTGAAACTCAAACAGAAATGTATGTAAGCTTTTAGTTAGGAATGTAAAACTTCTAACACTCAAGGAAGTTGATTTTTAAATGATAGTGGACTAATCAGAGTTGAGCTGAGTCTGGGCTTTATCGTATGTACATCTTCAGTGTCAGCACAGCTCTTCCGTTCTGTGTAAAAGTTTGTTTTAAACATTAGACCAGAGTCCTTGCTGGAGTTGCGGTGCTGCGAGCCAGCCCCCTCCTCTCCACACGTGTCAGCACCTCGGGGTTCACCCCTGAGGTCACCACTGCCTGGCATTTGTACCTGAGGTTCATTGTCTCTCGGGCTCTTGGTGGCTTTTGTCCAGCTAATCAAATCAGAATATGTTTTAAAGGTATTAGGATTAGCCACATGAATTACTAACAACTCAGGATTTCCTTCAACAAGGGTGAGGACGCTTGAGCGGAAACTAGAAGCAAAAATGATCAAGGAGGAGAGTGACTTCCATGACCTGGAGGCGGTGGTTCAGCGGGTGGAGCAGAACCTGGAGCTCATGACAGTACGGGTCCACGCTTCTCCACGCTAGGGCTGGGCGGCGCAGGGCGCTCCTCTGGAGCGAGGGCTGTGGCTGGCGCGTTGGAGCCGGCAGTGTGCCCGCGTCGCGCTCGGGCAGGCCCCCAGCACTTGGGCACGCTCCTCCGAGGCCACCAGCAGGCAGAGGGCCAAGCACAGGCTCTGTGGGACGAGCCCCACGGGAAGGGTGGTGGCCGCAGGGGGTGGTGTGTGGCTCCCTGCTGTCGGTGTCAGGGTTGGTGCACTATGTGGACACAAGGACAGCAGTGATGCTTTTTGTGTTTATTTTTTGGGTAACAGAAACGGGCTGTAAAGGCAGAAAATCACGTCATGAAACTAAAGCAGGAAATAAATTTGCTCCAGGTAATTAGGGGAAAGTCCATACATGTTTTCCTTTGATGTGTGGAGTCACATATACATAGATTTAACTGACTGCCACACTAGAAAAAAATTTTTTCCTTGGGCCATGATGTTGTATTAGAAAATGATTGACCCCTTCTAATTTAATGAAAAATTCATTTTTATAGTTTTCTGTGTGTAAGTTGTATGCCACTTAAAAAGTAGTTCTCGCGGCTCCCAGGGTGAAGAGACGTGTGAGTTACGTATGCTTCATGAGGCCCCAGGCACAAAACTAGCGTGAGTTAAATACAACTCATGTGACAGTTAATGTGTTAAGAAAAACTATGTGAAAGACACTGCTGGGGTTCACCCTGTGCCCTGAGCAGATCAAGGACTTAAACTCAGGACGGCACCAGCTTTCTATCCAGGGCCTTAAATAACGGGAGGTGAGGGAGTTCTTTCGGGTGTCTGATGTCTAGGCTGGGGCGGAGATAAGTGGAAGGTGTTAGGCCCGTCTCCCTTAGGAGCCTCCCTGGTGAGGCAAGAGCGCCTGGCGTGAGTGAGGCGGGGCCCCTCGGGCAAGTCCACGCTTCTCTGGGATGGCGCTTTGGTTTGCAGCTGGATTGCCTCACAGGTGCTCTCTGCTCAGCCATAAACCTCCACCCCCACCCCAGGTGCAGGTCTCCAACTTCAAACGAGAGAACGAAGCCCTGCGGTCTGGCCAGGGTGCCAGCCTGTCTGTGGTGAAGCAGAACACCGATGTGGCCTTGCAGAACCTCCGCTTGGTCATTAACAGCGCACAGGCTTCCATAAAGTGAGCGCCTCGTGGGGCTGGGAGAGCTCGGGCCAAGTGAGGGTGAGAGTAGAACGGCCATCAGCTCTTCTGGGTGGGGCTCTGACGGAACCATGGCTGCAGACCCGGGGTGGACATGGGTTCAATGGTCCTGTCCCCTCCAGGTTGTGATGTGGACAGACCAGGGCTCTATTTAACCTGCCTCATAGTGACCGTTTGCACCTGGGTGGTGTGGATGTGGGCATCACACAAATTTTAATCCCAGCTCCTTCACCTGCAAGACACTAAAATTCTGAATAAGAAAGTAGCTTTCCTCCTGTTGTAAAAAGATAAATTCGCAGAAGGCCCTCGGTGCGGTGCTTGTCACAGTGAGCACCCCTGGGATACACCAGCTGCTGTCACTGAACAGCAGTGATTGTCTGCCTCCCACTGGGCTGTGCTCTGCAGGGCGCCTGTGCCGGCCACCCCATGAGCACTTCCGTGGACAGCAAGGCCTGTTCTCCTGTTAAGCAAGTCAAGCGTGAGAGTCTCAGAATGGATCTAGGACTTTAAAAGTCTGGCTTTCACTTTGAAATTCCTTTGCTTTCGTGCTGTTATTGTTGCTGTGCACCATCAGTAGTAGCTGCTTCGAATATCTGTGTTTTCATTTTAGGCAGCTGGTTTCTGGAGCCGACACGTTGAATCTTGTTGCTGAGATCCTTAAATCCATAGACAGAATTTCTGAGCTTAAAGACGAGGAGGAATCTTGAGAAGCTCCGCGACGCTGTCAGCTTGATGCTCCGTGTACATCCTGAGGACACTCCCACTTCATCTGAGTGTGCAACTGTGTCTGTCACTGTGCAGTCTTAACCCAGAGTAAAGTATTTATCATGAGATACTAATTTCATGCCCTAGAACAGTATTATTGGCCACCCAGCATAGGAGCTGATCCTGACTGGCAGTCTGAGCTACAATTTACATGCATTCCTTATAGGTGAAATTCCTGCTATTTTATAGATTCTGATGACCTATTGGAAGGAATCTTTGTAAAAGCCAGTGTTTTTTTTTTAATTTATTTAATTGCTAAACATGAAAACAGCAATTCTGTAATAAGTGTTTTCCATTATCGTCTAAAAACATCGTCAGATGAGTTCACGTGATGAGCCCTGATGTCGTAAGTAGAACACTACACGAGCCATCACAGAAATGATGGGCTTGGGCAGGGACATGTGCCTTTTCACCATTACTCAGGGACCCTCTGACTCCCAGTTCCGTCTCTCGGCCTTCCTGGGTGGTTTCTGCAGTTGGTGGCCCGAGTGAGGGGGTGCCGCTTCCTAGATGCTGCTGTCTTCCCACCAGCCCCCCCCTCCGGAGGGGGGGACCAAGGTTGCACATTCCGTGTTGAAGCTGTTTAAACACAGCTCTGTGAGCTTTCAGATCTGAAAAACTTTTGGGCTGGGGGTTTCGAGACACATTTAAAGTGGCATTTTGTACAATGAATTTTAGAATTCAGGAATTTAAAGTGTGTTCAGAGCCTTCCTGGGTCAGTGGAAGGTCTTGCAGACTACCTTTCTGATCCTGTCCTGCACAGGGAAGAGGGGGGTGTACTGCACCTTTTTGGCTATTTTCCTGTAGCTGTCATTTTTTTAAATAAATTTTCTCTCCTGTTCGGACTGATAGCTTCCTTATTTAAATAAATTTTGAAGTTCATGTGCACAGCATATTTTATTCTGATTTTTGCCAAATCTTGATGCTTGAGAATTGAGCTGCCTTCCAACACTAGGGCCTGCATCCTGTTTTGTTCTTGTCTTAACTGGCAATTTGTGCTGGGAGATTAATTTCCTCAGGTCCTTGGCCATTGGGGTCAGGGACAGACTCAGACCACTGCTGCCTGGGCCTGATGACCGTGACTAACATGCTATAGATCTGTGAATCACACAGCTGCATGTTTTGGAGTGGGACAGATTGGATTGTGATTAAATTTCCAACCAAGATGTTTAAACTGCTGGACCTTATGGCCTTAGCTATAGGTAAAGGTCACAGCTTTCCAGAGTCGCCATTGAGCGTGCCTTCAAGCCTATGCCCCTGACAACAATTCTGTTGTCAGGACAGACTTCAGGCAGGGCAGTATGGAAAGTGGTACAGGAAAGTGCTGGAATGAGGTTCTCCTCTGGGCCTACAGGACAGTACGGGGACTCCCGGGGAGGATGCTTGGGCTGCAGACCTGTTCCAAGGCCCTCAGGAGAGACAGCATTCTAGCATTTTATGGGGTGGGAGGACGTGCCAGATGGCCAGGGTGGCCATCAGAGCCACCCTCTGACATTGCACCTGCCCTGGGTCCTACACTCCAGCTGGCAAGCAGGGTGGAGTCTGGGTGGATACGAAGCCGTTCACTCTGCTGTTCTTCCTCGGTGTGTGTTTGAAGCGTTCCATAGTAAAAAACTTAAAAATAAAATTCACAGTGCCATATTTAATGTCTGCCTCTGGGTTTCCTGCCCTGTAAGGACAGGTCCCTTCACAATTCAGGGAATGCAACGGGAGGTGCTCTGGGAGCACTGAGGGGCCAGCAGCTTTATGGTTCCATCTTCTCAGTTCTACTTTTGCACCAATACCAAACTCCCAGCTTGGCCTTCCCTGGTTCTAGCCCTCTGAGGCCAAAAGCCCACCCCTGGGTGGACAGCAGCCTCCCTTACCGTTCTCCAGCTGACTCCCCAACTCTCCCAGGCTGCGCTGGGGGCCCTGGAGTGCCTCTAATGCTCACAGGCCCTCAGCCCAGAGTCAACCCCGGAATGTTCCTGAATGGATGAGTGCCTACTTAGGGGAGCTCCCTAGGGAGCTCTTCAGGCTGGAACACCCTGAAGGTCCACAGGGGTGAGTCCTGCGTGGGGTCCCCACCCTCTTACTCGACTGGTGTTCAGTCCCACGTACCTGCCTGGAGATGGGTCTGGCCTGGGGCAGTACTGAGCACTCGGTGCTTTCGCGTTGGTTGCCCGACCAAATTCCAAGATGCAATTGACAGAAGATGAAACAGTCACGGAGAGGCCAGGGACCGCCCAAGGTCACACAGCTGGTGAGAACTCGCCCAAACCGCTCTGCCTCTCCAGGCTAAGCCAGAGCCATATCTTGACCCGGCGACCAGGCCGGCCCAGCCTCTCAGTGGCTGGGGGACCCAGAAGGCGGTCCCGAGGGCGGCCGCGCGAGGGCAGCACCGAGCAGCCCGCTTCTCTATGATCTCCGTCTCTCTATGGTCCCTGCGGGCCGCAGCGGCGTCCCGGCGTGCCCCGCGCCTCAGGAGGCGGGACTTCCGGTGCGTGGAGCTCCAGTCCGGTGGCCGCCGGAAGCGTCGTGTCTTCGGTCGCCCGGGCGACGGTGCTGGCCGCGCGCGCAGGTGAGGGCCGTGCCGGGCAGGTGAGGTACGGGGCGGGGCCGGCAGCCACGGGGCGCGGGCCCGAGGAGCGGACAGCCGTGGCCCGGGGAGGGGGCGGGGCAGCACCCAAAGACAGGGAAACTGAGGCCCGGCGTGGCGGCGATCCTGCCATGCTGGGGAGACCTGGAGGCCCAAGCCCGTGGGAATTCTGGCCCGGAGGGACCCTAGGCGGGCAACGGGCTGCAGGAGGCGGCCCAGGGGCGCAGCCCGGGACTCCCGGAGGTTCCGCCGAGACAGCCGCCCTTCCCTCCCGCCATCCTCACTGTCTGTGGGGGTCCAGTAGTAGGGCGCCCGCGTGCGCCAGGTCCTGCACTAAGTGCTTTTCGGGGATTGTGCCGGCCACTCCTCACCCCATTTTACAGATGTGGCAGCTGAGGCTCGGGGGAGGCAGGTGATTGCCCGAGGCTCCACAGCTAGCAAGAGGCAGCCAGCGCCTTTAACACCCCCGCCCCCCGCCGCCCCATACTGACGGCTTCCTTGGGTTCACTGGGGCCAGCTAGGAGGCCTGGGCCGGGTCTCAGGATCTGGGACTGAAGTGTCTTCTGCCACAATCTTGGCAGAAGACACTCATGAACACCCACCGGCAGGGAGGGCTGCAGGCAGAAGGCTCAGGGCTTGAACTGTGACTCTGACCTTCCTTCCTGCTGTTCATTGCTTAGGAGCAGTACGGGAAGGGGGTGGAAGACGGAAGTGAAAATCAGTTTGTCTTCAAAACACAAGTTGCCTTTTCCTTCAAGGCGAAGCTTCCAGAAGAAAACATCCCCTCCCTGCCCTGCCTGGGGGAAATGGCAGCTTTGAACCTGCCAGTGGTTCTGCAGATCTCGCTGGCTTTTAGCTGAGTTCGGTTTGCAGGGTTAGAAACATTTCAAGTGTAAACGATGCATCCTGCGCAGGAATGGGGGACATGGGCTGCTCTGTTCCAGTCACTCACGGCTCCACCAGAGTCTCTAGCTGGGAGAGCTCACGCCAAGAGCAGGGGAGGAGGCTTCTCTTTGTTCCTCCCAGACCTGTGCTTGTGTTTCTTTGAAATCTTCTCAGCTAATGCCTTGTTCTCCCACCCTTCTGTCTCCGCAGCTTCCTTCCCCCTTCAGGCTTCCCAGACCAGTGTTGCTAAGAAAAAAGCTTCATGTCTGCTTCTGCTTGTTGAGTCAGACACTGCCATGTGCTGGGTGCTGCTCTAGATTCTGGAGATACAGCAGCGAGCAGACAGAAAGCTTTGCCTGTGGGGAGCTTACTTCCCAGTGCTGCCAGTGACTGTCACCTGGTCAGTCTGTGCCCGGTGGACATTTTCCAAACGCCCTCTGTGGGTCCAGCTCTGTGCCATGGAGAGCAGGATGCACCTGAAGCTGTGGTCATAGGTTTAGGGGCCACGGGCCTCATCCTTGTCTTCTAGAGACTTTGCCCCTGCACCTTGCACTTTCTGCACTGGGCGACCAGCTCCCTTGTGCCGTGGGTGTGGGAGCAGAGACCAGGCAGTTGGGTCATCTTGGTGTCCATCTACTCCACCTATGCGGTGGTAGCCTCAGAGCAGGCAAGAGACATTCACGGGCCTTTGGCACCTGGCAGAGCACAGGGCAGGTGTTTGTGGGGTGCAGGAGGGTGCAAGGGTGCAGCCCAGGGCTGGGCCTGAGTCTGAATCTCCCTGGAGATCCGGGTACCTGCTTTGGAACAGGCTTCTGCCATCCTCTGCAGGTGCATGTGTCTGAAGAAGAATGAGATTCTGGCTCTTGGTTTCTAACATCTCATGATGTATTTTGGAGGCAGGCAGACGTCATGGATATAGATGCTGAAAGAGAGAAAATAACGCAGGAGATCAAGGAGCTAGAAAGGATTCTGGACCCCAGCTCCTCAGGTATCCACGTGGAGGTCTCCGAATCAAGTCTCGATTCAGATTCTGAAACAGGTAAGCTCCTGTGCACCTGGCCTCCTTGGAACGTGGCTAAGAACATCTGTGTCTGCCCTTGGGTCTGTTTAGCCACGTTAGGTAGAATGTGCTGGGGCTGCTAAGCCTAGGCCCTGTTTCTTGCCGACCTGGCCCCTGCCTCTCCCCCAGAGGGCTCGTGACAGTGCCTCCTTTGTCATGCTCTGGGTGCACTGGCTGTGCACAGTGCCCTGGCTCTGCTGCCTGGAGAGGGGCAGGAAGGAAGGAAGGGTCCTGCCATTGAGCCTTGAGCTCTAGGGGCCTCAGGGGGAGCATGCTGGCCTTCTGCAGTGTGCACTTCTGGGAGGGGCGGGCCCAGGGCTCAGCCCGTGGGCCAGTCTGGACAGTCACCACTACTCACACCCCTGGAATCTCTTGCTGGGCTCATGCGAGCCTCCTAAAAGGACCCTTCTGTGGAGGCCACACTGTCTCCCCATGCACTCCCTGAGCCTTCCCCACCCTGACCAGAGACCTGCCCACAGCTGCCCCCAACACACACACTGCTGCTCACCTCTCCCTGGGCCCAGGGCCGCCTCTGGGTGACTTTCTGTCTTCTGTGGGCAGGGCCTCTGCATCTGTGCCCTCCCTGCTCACTGGCTGAGCTCCCTCAGGATAGAGCCGGGTGCTACAGAGCCTTCCCTGGCGTCCCTCTGGTGGAAGACAGCACGTGTCATCCAGTGAACTCTGTAGTTTTGTCCCCTGTGTGTCCAGGGGCACCTCGTGTTAGGCTGGCATCTTCTCTGTCTGACCTGCCTGGGTCAAGTGTGTGCCCCGCACCATCAGGGCAAGAGGGTCCGTTCACGGCAAGTCTCACCCTGAGGCTCCGTTACCTCCCGGCCGGTGGGACCTCGGCCCCTCCCTGTCTGCACGGCCCAGGAAGCCGCGGTGGCTGCGCCACCTGCCCTTCCCGTCTTCAGTCACCAACACGGCGCACTTTTGTCTCCCACAGACTTGCTGCCTGGCGAGGGATTGGACGCCGCAGATCCCCCGATCTTGGTAACTACTGGCCTGGCCTGGCTGTGTGCAGGGTCGGACCTGCCGCCACCTTCCAAAGTAGCCCGGGAGGGGGTGTGTATAGAGAGACGCCACAGAGTATTCACTGTTGACGTTAAAGTTGTGTCCCGAAATAACTGCTATTAACAGCCTCCTGGCATTTTCCTGAGCGCGTGTCGATACACACACATCTCGTGAGAGAGTCCATCTCACGCAGAAGGCAGCAAGGTGTGTGCCTGGGCCCTGCCCTTCACAGCTCGCCTCTCTGTGTGCCTCAGTGTCCCCTGGGGCAGTAGGGACAGTCACGGCACAAGTCAGTTAACGTACAAGAGCGCCTGGCAGCTGCTCGGGTACACCAGTTAGTATTATTAGCTGCCTTTCATCTATTCTGGAAGACTTTATGATTTGGTTTTTGTTTTGCCACCAAGTCAGTGGGTTCAGAGCGGCCTCGTGTTTTCAGTGGCCGTGCTGCCCTCGTGTGGACGGGCTTAGCGCCATGGCTTCGCACTCAGCGCCTCGAGACGGGCTGGCCCTCTGGAGCCGTCGCTCGCTCGCCTGTGATCTTTTTTTTTGTTATTTCGGCGCGTTATGGGGGTACAAATGTTTAGGTTACATATATTGCCCTCGTCCCCCGCCCACAATGCCCGTGACCTTGCACGAGCGAGATCATGGCAGCCTGGCTCACTGCGATGGTGGCACAGGCTTGTGGCACTTGGGCCGTAGAAACATTTGCTGTAGTGACTGAAAGCTGCTTGTTCCCTCACACGGACCCCACCCGACCTTCCTTACGTTGAGATGAGGAAACGTGTACACACTCGACTCTGGGAGGGACAGGCGCCACCCCAGACGTGAACGTGCTCCTGCCACCCACCAGGGTCATTTCTTGGTCCCACATGTGGGTGGTCTTGGGCCAGAGCTGCCTGAGTGTCCCAGGGGCCCAGCGACTGGTGTGTGGGCTTGGGCTGGGGCCGAGAGGGTGGGAGGACATCTGTGTGTCCCATCTGCTCACGGCAATCTCTGCCTCACAACCAGGAAGAAGAAAGGTGGGGTGAAGCCAGCAACGATGAGGATGACCCCAAGGACAGAGCTCTCCCTGAAGACCCAGAGACCTGCCTGCAGCTGAACATGGTCTACCAGGAGGTCATCCGTGAGAAGCTGGCAGAGGTCAGCCTGCTGCTGGCACAGAACCGGGAGCAGCAGGTAGGATGGGGTGACAGCCCCTCCTCGTGCCGACACCTCCTGACCCCAAGAGCCCTCACAGCCAGGCTCCCAGGACCAGGGCTCCCTGGCTGCCTGCCTCCCTTTCACCCAGGGGTCCCCTTCTGCACAGGGAGTGTCACTGCTGCCCTGCCCACAGAGGGGCCCTTGTGTCTGTCATAGGAGGAGATCATGTGGGACCTGGCTGGGCCCAAAGGCCCCAAGGTGCAGGGCAGCAAGAGCCTGCCCCCGAACGTGTACATAGGGCACTTCATGAAGCCGTACTTCAAGGACAGGGTCACCGGAGTGGTGAGTGGTCGAGGGAAGAAGCTCTTGTCCCCACAGCCTGCTGGTTGGCTGTGAATTCCCTTGGGGGCTTCAGGGTAACACTCTCCAATCTCAGAACTCTCTGCCTTATCCCTGGTGAAAGTCAAGGCCTCCCTCCCTGGGTGGGTGAGCTTCCCTCCAGGTGGGCCACGCAGGGCGCGGCTCGCTGTGCAGTGGCACCCCGATGGTCAGCAAGGCCTCGCCGTGTGGACTGCAGCGTCCAACAGTAGGGCCCAACCTCGTCAACCTTCGAGGAGCCCACCCTGCGCATGCCCACTGGGTTGTGCCCACAGCCACCACGTGGCAGCAGCTCTGGGTGCAGAGGGCCAGCATCTGCCCTTGCCCACCAGGAGGCTGTGGGGAAGGGGCCCTGAGTCCTGGTGTGGACCCAGGAGGGACGTTTGGGGCCCTTCAGGTGAGCACACAGGTATGTTCACATTGTGCTGCCGTGTGCTCTGACAGGGGCCTCCTGCCAATGAGGAGACGCGGGAGAAGGCTGCCCAGGGGATCAAGGCTTTCGAAGAGCTCCTTGTGACCAAGTGTAAGAACCCAGGCCAGGCCCTTGGCGTCCAGTGAGCTCTGGGACACGGGAGGCCCCTTCCCAGGGCTGTGTGTGGTTCTCAGACCTCTCTGCTGTGACCTCCTGGGCACCTGGCCTCGACCACTGGGACTGGCCACTTGAACCCCCAGCCTTTTCCAGTTGAACAGGGTCCTTTCGAGGATGCCAGTCACTAGGGGCAGGCCCGGGCTACCACCTCACACTCTCTGGTCACTTCCGCCTCATCTCGGCATGCCTAGCCCGGCAGGCCCTGACAGGAGCTTGTGCCAGGCTTCAGGTGGAGCGTGTTTCCGGGGAGGGGCTGGCACCCAGAGGCCATCAGACAGTAACTCCCTCCCTCGCCACTTAAGCACCGCCTCCTGCTCTGGAAGTGGGAGCTAACGGTGGCACCCGGTTGTGGAGAGGGCGCAGTGAACGACGAGCATGGCACGCCAGAGCCTCCGATGACGTCATGGTTCTCTCTCCTCAGGGAAAAACTGGGAAAAAGCCTTGCTCAGAAAGTCAGTGGTGAGCGACCGCCTACAGCGTCTGCTGCAGCCCAAGTTACTGAAGTGAGTCACGGCAGGTCAGGGGACGGCCTTCCCCGCCGCCCAAGCGTCGCAGCTGGCCAGCGTGGGCCGGGCAGAGGTGCAGCTCAGCCACCTCCCTCTCCCTGGCGCCGGGAGACGCCGATGCCTGAGCTTCGCGCTCCTTCCCCAGAGGAGGCTGCCAGCGTCTCGGCCACTCGGGAGTGCAGGGCCAGGCTGCGCAGCTGCGTTGAGCCATGTGCCTCAGGCAGCTCCTTTTCTCTGGGCCTCAGTTTCCCCCTGTGAAATGAGAACCATTCCATGAAACCCATTTAATGCTTTTGCTGATGGGGTAACGTCAGAAACACACGGGGTGCTGCTTTTTTGTAAATGCTCAATGGGGCAGCATGGTCTGGAAGACTATGGTGAGAGACACAGGAGACACGGTGCCTCCCAGCGCTGGGCACCAGGACATGCAGGGAGGGCAGTGGAGCCAGGTCTGGATCAGCCCCACCTGGACAGCCCAGCAGGGTACCCACCTGCTGCTGTGTGGGACCACGAGGGCTAGAGGCAGAGGTGGTGCCTTCAGGGTGGCAGCAGCTGGGGCCAGACAGCCTCTCTGGGCACTGAGAGGCCTGTGACCAGGCCAGGGCGTCCCGGGGGCCATGTGCACCTCGTGGCTTGATGTGCACGGCCAGGACTTGCAGCGGTGACAATGGGTCCCTCCTCAGGCCGAGGGAGAGCTGGGTCCCCCGGCCCGTCCCGGGAAGTGGTTCTCTACTACAGCAGCAACCGTAGGCTCACAGAGCAGCTGCTGGCCCCCTTGCTGGGCACAGGTTGAGGTATCTGCACAGGGCTGGGCTGGGACGCTGATGCTTGGGAGGGGAGTGTGCCGGGCTCTGACACATGGTAGGGGGAACAGGTAGTCACCACCTGTGTCAGCAGACATGCTGCCGCCGTTCTGATCCTGGTGACAGCAGCAGGAGAGGCAAGTGCTGCCGCCCCCTATATGGGGGAGGAGGCACAGGCAGGGAGGATAAGGCAGGCTCGGAACTGGAACCGAGTCACAGTTCTGTACCACTGAGTTGAACGGAGTGACCAGCCCTCCCCAGGGCGGCCCCAGAGAGGCAGGGCACCCTGCGGAGTGCGCACCGCCGTCCCCAGCCCTCGCCTGCACTCTGCCTTGCAGGCTGGAGTACTTGCACCAGAAGCAGAGCAGAGTCTCCAGTGAGCCGGAGAGGCAGGCCCTGGGCAAGCAGATCCAGGAAGCTGAGAAGGAAGTCCAAGATATCAAGTGAGACAGGGTCCCCAGGAGGGCCCCGGGGAGAGCCCACAGGTTGGGCGTGACACAGTGCCCTGGTCCTTTCCTCCAGCCAGCTCCCAGAAGAGACCTTGCTGGGAAACAGGCTGGACAACCATGACTGGGAGAAGATCTCCAACGTTAATGTGAGTTGGGTCCGGTCTGAGCCCCAGGCAGCCTGCAGCACGTGTCAGGGATGGGGCGGGGGTCGGACCTGGGCAGTAAGTAAGGCTGCGCCGTCCCAGCTCCTCCATCCGCCATGGCCCTTCTGGTCAAGTGCGTGGCCAGCAGCCAAGAGCAGTGAGTGGCTTCATGGGCCCTCCCTGTCGATGTGCACATCTTTCTCTTCTGTGGTGGATGGTCTTGAGGCTACTGGCTTTGCATTTGGAGCCAAATGTGCATTTTTGGCAACGCAAGACCCAGTGAGCTGGATGGAGGCTCCTGGTATTTCCACCTGCCAGGAAGCAATGGCTTGGCCTGGAGCTTTGTCTGGGGGCCTCTGGGGTCAGCAGCCCCGCAAGGCTGAGTTTCTCTGTCGGTGCAGTTTGAAGGAGGCCGTGGTGCGGAGGAGATCCGAAAGTTCTGGCAAAACTCTGAGCACCCGAGCATCAACAAGCAGGAGTGGAGTGGGGAGGAGGTGGAGCGGCTGAAGGCGATTGCAGCCTCACACGGCCACCTCGAGTGGCAGAAGGTGGCAGAGGAGCTGGGGGTAAGGACCGCGGGACCCAATCCGGACCCCGGGGGTCCCAGGAGACCTCAGAGCGTGGAGGCCCTTAGCGGAGTTGGATGGGGCAGAGCCGGTGGTCTCACCGCCCCATGGGAGCCTGGTGGGAGGACAGCGTAGGTTTACAGACTTGTGTCACCGTGGGGCGCTTGGGGCCCACCTGTTCCCCAAGCCTCCCAGAGCCAGGTCTGAGTGCGATTTGGCACACGGGGCAGAGCCCACTGACGCCCCTTTGCTTCTGTGCGGGCCTTGGGAAGACCCGGCGCAGCGCCTTCCAGTGCCTGCAGACCTTCCAGCGGCACAACACGGCCCTGCGGCGCAGGGAGTGGACGGAGGAGGAGGACCGCATGCTCACCCAGCTGGTGCAGGAGATGCGCGTCGGCAGCCACATCCCCTACCGCAGAAGTGAGCTCGCGTGCCCGTCCTGAGAGGCCCTCAGGCTGTCCCGGGGCGCCCCTACGTGGAGGCACAGACTCTCGGGGTGACTCGCTTTCAGAGTCGGGAGAGGCTACAGGGAGTGCGAGGGGTCACGTGGTCTCAGGGCTTCCACAGTTGGATCCTTGGTGATCAGAGTGACTCTGTTCTGTGCGACCCATCTGGGAAGTGGGTGTCTCGGCCCCCACGAGGCGCCCCTGCGTGGGGGGCAGGTGTCTTGGCACCCACGAGGCCCCTCTCCCCCAGTTGTCTACTACATGGAAGGGAGAGACTCCATGCAGCTCATCTATCGCTGGACCAAGAGCTTGGATCCCAACCTGAAAAAGGGGTACTGGGCCCCAGAGGAAGATGCTGTAAGTGTGTGGGGCCCTAGGAGAACGGTCCTCTGGGAATTAACCGACCTGTCCCGAGGGGCTGCTGGGCCCCTGAGGTTCCCTTCTTTGAGTTCAGGACGGGGAGGTTATGGCTGTGCCCACAGATACCGTCTGCGTGCTTGTCCCTTCCTGCAGAAGTTGCTTCAAGCTGTTGCCAAATATGGGGAGCAGGATTGGTTTAAAATCCGGGAAGAGGTGCCAGGTAGGAGCGATGCCCAGTGCCGAGATCGGTGAGTTGCGCGGCGCGGGGAGGGAGGGGCTCACTGGGATGCGTGTTAGGTCTGCTCTCGCCTAGGCTGTAGGCAGCCCAGGAGACAGTGGCCAGGAGTGATTTGCTGCTGTAGGGAGAGGGTGTGGCCCAGGGGCGTTCTGTGTGCCAGGGTTGACTCTCTGGGGAAGCAGGGTGAACTGCTTTTCCAAGCCAGACTTTTATATTTATGTCCCTTGCTTGCCAGGAACAAGACCCAAGTTCCACCGGAGACAGGGTGTCCTGGTCAGTTTTCCTGACCCGTGATGTCTAAATTTTCCAGATCGCCAATGGGCACATTCCCTGGGCAGGCAGCCGCACCCCCCTCCTTTCCTGGTTATCTTTTTTGAAAACAGCTTTATTGAGATAAAATCCACATACCATACAAGCCGTTCATTTAGTGTACCCTCCAGTGGTTTTTAGTGCATTCATTGAGCCGTGCGGCCATCACCACAACCAATTTTAAAACATTTTGATCACCCCAAAAAGAAGACCTATTCAACAATAAAAACAGTTCAGTTCAAAAGTGGGCAAAGTGCTTGAATAGACACTTCTGCAAAGAACGTATGCAAATGTCCAACAAGCACACGAAAGATGCTCAACATCCTCAGTCGTTGTGAAGTATACGTCAAAACCACACATAGATCGGGATGATACTAATTGGGGAGGGCAAGTGTGGTGGCTCACACCTGTAGTCCAGCACTTTTGAAGGCTGAGATGAGGGGATCACTTGAGGCCAGGAGTTTGAAACCAACCTGGACGGAATAGCAAGATCCCATCTCTAAAAAATTTAAAAAAAAAAAATTAGCCTGGCATGATGTTGCAGACCTGTAGTCCCAGCTACTTGGGGAGGCTGAGGCAGGAGGATCGCCTGAGCCCAGGAGTTTCAGGTTGCTGTGAGCTGTGTTGACTCCACGGCACTCCAGCCTGGGCAAGAGAGCGAGACCCTGTCTCCAAAAACGAAAAGTAACACATGTAGGTGAGGAAATGGAGAAACCGGAACATTCATTCATTTGGTGGGGACGTAAAACGGCGAGGCTGCTGTGGAAACCAGTAGGCTGGTTCCTCGAGAAGCTAAACGTAGCCTGATACCCAGGATGATCGGTAGCTGTAAAACCCGAGAGAACTGGACGCAGGAACCCAAGCGCATCTGTACAGCCGCGTCCACAGCAGCGCCCTCACGACAGCCGAAATACGGAAACAGCCCGAGTGTCTGTCGACAGATGAATGGATAAAATGTTGTCTTTCCGTACGATGGAATGTTATTCAGCTTTTAAAAAAATGAAATTGTAGCAAATACTGTATTTCTGCAAATTCTGGTACAACATGGGTGAACTTGGAAACATGAATGTTCACATGCCTTTTTTTTACGCTGAGGTACATGTTCGTTTCCCTCAGGTGTAGCTGAGGAGTGGGGTTGCCCGGTGTGGTGGCTGCTCCGTGTCAGACAGGTTTCCAAAGTGTTCCCACTAGCAGCGCACCGGGCTTCCAGTGTTCCACATTCCCCGATGCTTGTTCTTTGTGACGACAGCCATCCTAGTGGGTGTGAACTGGTGTCATGGTGATTTTTATCTGCATTTCCCCAGTGACTGAGGACATTAAGCTTATCTTTTCATGGGCTTGTTTGCCATTCGTATATATTTTTCTTTGAAGAAACATTTATTCAAGTCCTCTGCTCTGTTTTTTTTATTGACTTACAAGTTCTTTACAGATTTCAGACACAAGTCCCTGATCAGAGGTATGGTCTGCAAATATTCTCTCCTGGTCTGTGTTTTCTCCCCTTCAAGTACTAGCCACCCGACCCCGCCAGGCCCGAGATAGACGAGATCTGGCGCGTGTGGGTGGCATGGCCGGAGACCAGGCTGTATGTTCTCTTTTTTTCTTTTTGAGACAGAGTCTCACTCTGTTGCCCAGGCTAGAGTGCCGTGGTGTCAGCCTAGCTCACAGCAACCTCAAACTCCTGGGCTCAAGAGATCCTTCTCCCTCAGCCTCCCGGGTAGCTTAGGACTACAGGCATGTGGCATGGTGCCACCATGCCTAGCTGGTTTTTTCTGTATATTTTTAGTTGGCCAATTAATTTCTTTCTATTTTTAGTAGAAACAGGGTCTCGCTCTTGCTCAGGCTGGTTTTGAACTCCTGACCTTGAGTGATCCTCCCACCTTGGCCTCCCAGAATGCTAACATTACAGGCGTGAACCACCGCGCCTGGCCTGTGTGTTCTCTTTTTTCCTTTCTTTCTTTTTTTTTTTTTTTTAAAGACTAGTCAAGTGCAGAAGTGAGAAGGGGTAAGGTAGTAGAGCCAGAAGTTCAGTCTGTAACTGAACAGTAAGTGGGATAACTCACTACCTTCTGACCAGCCCAGCCTGTGTGTTTTCTTTCCACTTTCTTGACGGTTTCCTTTGAAACACCGAAGTTTCACATTTTGACAAAGTCCAGTGTGTCTGTATTTTTCTTTGGCTGCTATTGATTTTTGTGACATATCTAAGAAACCGTTGCAGAAGCCAGGATAAGAGTGGGAGGTGTCTCAGCATGTTTTCATGTCCCCTTGTTTTCATGTCACTTTCAGCTATTTCAGAAGATTGCATTTCAGCTTGAAAAAGGGACGTTGGACTTTAAAAGAAGAGGAACAGTTAATTGAATTAATAGAGAAATACGGTGTTGGTGAGTTGCCGGTGTGTTAGCTTGCGCAGTGTCTGCTCGCTTGGGGAGCGTGCCCCAGCTTTGCAGACCCCGTCAGGCTCCGGTCTGCCCTGACCCCATGTCCACCGCTCTTCCGCCCGTTCTTCCCCGTCCGGACAGACGGCAGTTTCCCCTTACTACAGCTAGTGCAAGTTCACCACAGGACACTTAGAAGTGCAGGCGTACAAAAAGGAGAAAAGTAACGTGAGCGTGTCGCCCAGAGATAACCGCTGTTAGCTGGCGCACACCTCCCCTCTCCTTCCTCTGTCCTCTTCTAGGAAAAGGCAGCTTTTAACAAACTGACTCGTGTGTAACTGACTGCTTTTTACGTGACGGTGTGTCATGAGCCGTGCCGTCTGGCGTGAACATCCCGTCCGGACGCACTCTGTCCTGCTGCCGCTCCGCCGGTGGCTGCGCCGCGTTTCTTGGCGGCTCACGGGTTATTCAGCCAACCTTCCGTCCCCATCTTTCTCTCTGGCCTGGAACGAGCTGAGCGTTTATAGATAAACCTTTGCTTACATTTATGACATCTCCTTAGAACACACCCTAGCTGTGGGGTTGCCGGGCTCCAGGACGTGCAGAGCACTGAGGCTGTGTCTCACTGTCCAGCTGTCCCGTACACGCTCTGCCCTGACTGCCTCCCGCCAGCGCTGTCTGAAAGAGAACTCAGGTCGTTAGCGGCGTCTGGCTTAGAAGCCCGGGCGCAGCAGACACGCAAGGCCCATGTTATGTAGATGGGGCGATTCTTCCTTCTTGGTTGTACGTTTGCCAGAACTCTGCTGCGGGGCTGAGCACCCACGGAGGATTGGGCTCCAGAGTTGCAGGGGCGGCGGCGAATCTGATCCGGCTTCTAGCTGGGCAGCGCGGGAGGCCCCAGGCGAATCTTCCAGAGGACAGCACGCTGTCCTGGGAGCAGACTCTTCCTCTGAGCGGATGACCTTGTGCCGTCGGAGGCTGTTGTATGAAGCGGTTTCCATGTGGTTTTGCTTTTGCAGGTCACTGGGCAAAAATCGCTTCCGAACTGCCCCATCGGTCGGGCTCCCAGTGTCTGAGCAAGTGGAAGGTCATGATTGGGGTGAGGCATCCATTTGTTCCTGGAGCTCTGCCTGCATGCAGACGGAAGGTCCCATCCCCTGCGTCCCCCACGGGGCAGAATCAGGGGGCGCGGGGATGGGGGGTCGGGAGGGAGGTGGGACATGTGGATTCTGGCCCTGGTGTTTCTTCTTCCGGGCAGTCTAGGGCAGAGGGAGACCCGCCCCGGCTCAGCTGCCGCCCACCCCGCAGGCGTGCCTGCTCAGCCTCCCCCTGGGGGGCGTCTGCCTGTTGTCCTTCCTCGGTGAGCCTGCGTGGCTGAGGCCTCCATGGGGCCCTTTCCTCCCTTCAGAAGAGGCAGGGTCTGCAGAGGCGGCGGCGGAGGCCCCGTCGCAGTGTCCGGTGGAGCTCCAGCTCCAGCAGCAGCGGCGGGGACACCAGCAGCAGCGGCGGCGGCAGCACCAGCAGCAGCAGCAGCAGCGGCAGTGGCAGCGAGGAGTCGGAGGCGGAACTGCAGCAGGCGCAGGAGGGCGGCAGAGAGCTGCCGTCCCCCCAGTACGTGGTGCCGGACATGGACCTGTGGGTTCCTGCCAGACACAGCACCGGCCCGGCGTGGAGAGCAGGGCCAGGAGGCCGGCCGGGGCGCCCTGCTGCCTCCCTCGGCCCTCCCAAGGGGCCCGGTGCCACCCAGGGCAGCAGAGAGGAAACTTCCGCCCCCACATCGGCTCCCCATGAGCAGCTGGGCCCCTCGCAGGCCCCCTCCGGCGTCCACAGCACCGCCCTGCGGGGCGTCCAGGACTCACGCGCCGCGGACACGTTGCTGGCGCGCTCAGAGGAGCTGGCCCTTGAGGTAGGCCCCGGGGTGTGTCCCCGGAAAGGCACAAGGAGGAAGTGGGTGCCCTGCGCTCTAGGTGGTCACCAGGGCTGGTGCTCGGGGACCATGTGGCGGCCTGGCCACCAGCCAGGTCCCCAGGTGTAGAGAGACACCCCCTCATTGCTCATCAGAATGTTCTGCTTCTGGCTGGTTTTGGAGAACCGTCCCCACGGGCAACAGCCTTCTCCCCTGAGGCTGGCGGCTCTGTTTCCCTAGCTTGGCTGAATGAGCACGTGGACGTGGAGGCATTTCTGGAACATTTCATCCCCGAGCCGGGTGGGGGGGATTGGGGGAAGTAGGAGGGAGGAGGAGGCGGTGGGAAGGAGTCCCCAAGGTCCTCCCTGTGAAGGGCCCTGCCCACCTGCTGGGGACAGTGGCGTGTGCTGCCTGTCCTGGTCGATCTCCAGGCCGCGGGCACAGGTGCCGCTCTGGCTGTGTCCCGAGTAGCAGTCTGGGCGGAACAGGCTGGTCTTTCCTGGGAGGTGCTGGAGGGGACAGTGGACCCTGAGGCAGCCAGCAGAGTCACGTGCCACGGGGCCTGCTGGGAGCCTCCGCTGGAGAGAGGCCTGCTCTCAGCCCGAGGGCCGGCTGGGGGGAGCCCCGCTAGTGTCCTGGGGTGCCCTCTCTCCTCTGGGGAGGCCCTGCCTGAGGACCCCAGCCCCCCACAGTGCCACTGCCACACGGCACACACCGTGCTCCGGAGGCCGGGGAGGAGACGTTCACGGCAGCCCCCGCGCTGGGGGCTCCCACACTGCCTCACACTGTCCAGCTGTCCCACACACGTCCCCTAACCCGACTCCTTTGTCAGGATGGGAGCCGGCTGCTGAAGGTGCCCCTGGAGACCGTGCTGAGGGTGCTCAGGACCAACACAGCCACGCGCAGCCGCACGCTGGTGAGGCCTGCCGCACGCTGCCCGTGGCACCCAGCGCCCTCCCTGCCCGAGCCCGCACACCCCCGCCCTGGTCTGAGCGTCCCTCCCCCAGGCCCTGAAGGGAGTGGGGAGCAGGGGCCCTTGCTGGCTCCCGCACTGGCCACCAGGGCAGGGGTCGCTACAGGGAGCTTGCCTGGCCGGGAGGCTCAGGTGCCTTCTCCTCCCTGCAGAAGGAGAAGCTAAAGCAGCCGCCCCTGCCCAGCTCACCCCTAGGGGCCAGCTCTGGTGACAGCGCTGCCCGGTCCCACGTGAGGCAGCTGTGGCACGGAACCTTCCAGAATGGACGGCGGCGCTGGAGACATGCTCTGCACCAGAGACTCCTGGACCGCAGGCTCCTACTGGCTGTGACCCCTTGGGTGGGCGACGTCATCCTGCCCTGCACGCCGGCTCCCCGGAGACCTGCTGTGGCGCAGACCCGAGGTACCACCCAGGGCTCCTCTGGGAGCCTCCGAGGGGGATGGGGGGGTGGAGATAGGCGTCACGTCCTGCTCAGCGCACGGCAGTCAGTTAGGGAAGTGGCCTCAGCAGGGAGCCTTCTGGGATGGGCCACACCTCTGGCCAGGTTCCTTGGTGAGGGTCGGCACCTGTCCCTGAAGGTTTTCGGCGATGGCCAGTCAGGACCCTGGCTGCTCTTCCCGGCCCTGCACGGGGCGGCTGGCTTTGAGGTTCTTGGGGCGGGGAAGGGCTCAGAGGACCCCGCCCTTCGTCCGTGGTGGCCGTGTGCTGCGGTTCCAAGGTTTCTCCCGCCCTGCCTGGCACCCAGGCCTGAGGGCTCTCGGGCCTCCGGGAGAGCAGCGTGGCAGCTGGAGCAACTTTGTCCGTGTGCCCTTGTGCCCCAGCCGATGGCCTCGGGAAGCAGCTGCAGCATGCCCGCCTGGCCAGCACCCCAGTGTTCACGCTGTTTATCCAGGTAAGTACATGGGCAGGATTTCTTTTGCTTGTGTGGGTATAAAGACTTAAAGTTTGCAGTAGATTCACTCCTAAAAGTATAATTATCTAAAGTTCTCAATTCTTGAGAATTTACTTTCCGAGGCTTATGGCTGTTGGCAAATTAACGTGGAACGGGCTGGCTGGCTGGCAAGCGTTCACTGCCACCATCAGGTTAAACGGTGTCCTGGGAAGGGTGAGAGCAGCCAGGGACCAGGTGTAAATGGAGGAATGGGGGCGTGACACCCAGGACACGGTGGGAGCCCAGACCGGAGATCCACGTGCAAGTCAGGACAGGAATTCTGGCCGAGGGTTCAGTGAGGCCGGCACAGCCGCACAGATTGCCCGTGCTCCCGCCAAGGCCTCTGTGGTGTGGGATCTCCTGAGAGCAGCTGCGGTCAGGGCTGTCCTGCAGTGTTCTGTCCTGTGGGGTCTGGGGGTGCCGAGGTGGGAGGTTCTACTAGCCCTGTGCCCCTCAGCTGTTCCAGATCGATACTGCTGGCTGCATGGAGGTCGTTCGAGAGAGGAAGGTGCAGCCACCCGGGCTGCTCCAGGCTGGCACCCAGGACCCCCCTCCGCGCCCTGTGCAGGTAGTGGCCCTTGGTGAGAAGCAAGAGTGAGCGCCGCCCTCCCCGGCGTGGCGAGGCACTGCCCACAGGAGGAGGGTCCCTCCGGCCGGCTCTGCTGTGCTCCCTCCAGGGGTGTCTACACAGCCCTCACGTGGGGCCTGCAGCCCTGAGAGGTTCTGCGGGAGTCCCAGGTGGGCACAGGTCAGACCAACACTGAGACGTCCCACCTGCCCAGCCTGTGTCCCCACAGCCACACGGGGCGGTGGTCAGGAACCATGGGTGCTGTCTGCTTGGGGGTGCCTGGTTCTCGCCTTTCTGCCCCAGACACCGAACTTGCGTGAGCTCAGTGGGTGAGAAGCCTCGCCCCAGAGCCCTGTCACCTAGGGTGGGAGACCACAAAACGGTGTCCTCGTTTGAGGACCAGAGGCAGCTCTGTGGTGCCCCCCAGGCCTCACTGCCCTCAGCCCCCTGCCCCCTCCTGCAAGCCCCACACCGCCCCGGCCCCGGAGTGAGCGCGTTCCAGGGTGCCCGTGGCGGAGCTGCGTTGGGAGGGAGGCGTGAGGCCGCTGAGCTGCAGAGGCGCGTGGGGAGCCGGCACCTGGGGCCTTGTGCCCTGTAGCGGTGGTGGCGAGAGGTGGTCTGGGAGTGGGGACAAGTGGTGAAAGCACACAGGCGAACAAGGTACCGACTCTCCTCTCCCTTTTCAGGCGCTTTCGAGAGCCCCGAGCACCCCAGGTACTGCTGCTTCTGTGCTTGATTCGGTGGGGCAGTCCCAAGCGGCCGCTGGCTCCGAACCAGGGCCTCTGGTGCCCCGTGCCCCTGGTGACAGGGTCCCAATTGAACCCCCGCCACAGGGATAAGAGCCCGGCTGGGTGGGTTTGGTGCTCCCAGCTGCCGCCCCTGCTGGCCCTGCAGCTTCCCCGGCCCAGGTGCACGAGAGGGGCCCCCGTGAGTGAGGGCTGTCCTGCTGGCACCACTAGTCTGCCCACACCCGGCCAGTGGGGCCGGGCTCCCGAGGGGACGGAGAAGCTCTCCCAGGAGAGCAGTGCCAACCCCACGGTCCCGGCCTTGAAGATGTTCGAAATTCAGGGGCTGGGCTGGCCGGAACGTCCACTGCCCTGGCTGTGACCGGGTGTTGGGGTTTGGGGTACCCCGAGATCTGGGCCGGCCCCCAGTGACCACATTCCAATTGCTGCCCAGTACAGACGCTCACTTAGGGGTCTCTCCTCCCTGCAGGCTGCCCCTTACCCAGCGTGACAGCTCAGAAAGCTGCAAAGCCTGCCGGCCGCCGGACAGAGTATGCCACACCCCCGGTGCCCCCACCGGCTCTGAGCGGCCCTCGGCCCAAACCCAAGACCGTGTCAGAACTGCTCCGGGAGAAGCGGCTTCGAGAGGCCCGGGCCAGGAAGGCCGCCCAGGGCCCCACGGTGCTCACGCCCCGGCTGCTGCTGTCCTCGCCTGTGATCCTCCAGCCCGCTCTGCCGCCGGCCCCCCACGGGCCCCCAGCTTTGGGTCCCGCCCTCTCCAACCCAGCAGCCTCTGGGCCCGGGGGCCCTGCAGCAGCCAGTCTGGGCACTTCCGCCTCCTGGCAGGGGGCTGGGACTTCAGCCAAGGACGAGGGGTCCTCCACCCTGCAAACCCTGTCCCTAGCGGCTGCGTCTGGAACCCCCACCCTGGGCCCAGGCCAGGTCACCGGGAGCTGCCACCCGAATAGTCTCGGACAGTCTCAGGTCCCTGCCACATCCCGGAAGCAGGGCCTGCCGGAGGCGCTGCCCTTTCTCCCTGCGGCCCCCAGCCCTGCTCAGCCACCCATCCAGCCCCTCAGCCTGACACACAGAGCAGGGCCACACGTGGCAGCCAACGTCCCTCTCCCTGTCACCTGGGTGCTCACGGCCCAGGGGCTGCTTCCTGTGTCGGTGCCAGCAGTGGTGGGCCTGCCCAGGCCAGCAGGGACCCCTGACTCCACAGGGCTGCCAGTGACCCTGCTGCCTCCCCTGGCTGAGACGCGGGCAGCCCAGGGCCCCAGGGCCCCGGGGCTGAGCTGCCCTGGGCAGCCCCAGACCAGTGTGGACGTGGGACCAGACTCTTCCCCTGGGACAGGCCCCTCGACCCCTGCCACATGTCCCTCGTCACAGAGGCCTGCAGATGTGGATGGGGATGTGGCCTGTGTGGCCAGGACGTCGCCCCAGGCGGACCACCCTGAGGCAGAGCCCCTGCCGCCCAGCCCGCTGCCTGCCTGTGGTGTTGCCGGCCCAGGGAGTGACCCAGGAGGGACACCAGGGCCCCCCTCAGGGACACGGGAGCCCAGGGGGCCTCAGCCTGGGCATGAGAAAGGCTCCCTGGACCTGGGCCTGCTCTCCCACAAGAGTGAGGCGGCCACGCAGGAGTGGCTGCGGGGGCAGGGCGGGGTGTGTGTGCCCCCCCTGGGGAGCAGGCTGCCCTACCAGCCCCCCGCCCTATGCAGCCTGCGGGCACTGTCCGGCCTCCTGCTCCGCAAGAAGGCCTTGGAGGACAAGGCCACCTCCCTGGTGGCCAATGGGGCAGCCAGGGGCCAGGCCGAGCCCCGGGCAGGAGCCCTGCAGGCCGCTCTTGGGCTGGTGCGGGCGCAGCTCCAGGACAACCCTGCCTACCTCCTGCTGAAGGCGCGGTTCCTGGCAGCCTTCGCCTTGCCCGCGCTGCTGGCCACCCTGCCCCCCTGCGGCGTCCCCACCACTCTCTCAGCAGCCACAGGCGTGGGCTCCGAGAGTGAGGACGAGGGCCTGGACGAGCCGGAGCTCACCTCGGCCAGGAGCCCCGATCAGGTACGGTCTGCTTCCAGCCCCGGCCCCACTTCCCCACGGCGGCCCCGGTGGCACCGTCACCCGCCCAGAAGTGTCTGGCCTGCCCGAGCGGCGTGCGGGACAGGCAGAAGTCGCGGGCAGCTTGGTTCCTTGGGACGAGGAAGTGGGCGCTGAGGTCCCCTTGCCGCCCCCATTGCGTGTGGCGTCTGTGCAGAAGTCACCTCCCCTATGGGGCAGCGTGGGGAATGCTCGGAGAGGGGCCCAGGTCACGTGCACACGCGGCGTGCACTGCCTGGTGGGCCGTCCGCCTGGGGCAGCAGCTGCGTCCTTCCCAGCACCTCTGGGGGCGCAGAGTCCCTCAGGTGTCGCCTCCCTGGCTGCGTGTGGGGAGAGTGTTCCCAGCTCTATACGCAAAACCACTTATTTCTGACGAGAGCCCTGAAGTGTGGGGCTGTGACCCTGGTCCTCCAGCTGCACCCAGGGAGCCCCCTGCAAGGCCCCTTCCCCTGTTGCCACTTGCAGCCCTGAGAAAGCCCCAAAGCGGCTCCTTCCCGCCCTGGGCACCCCAGGGCCCTGCCTCGAGCCCCCGGGAGTCCTGGGCTGAGCGAGGGAGGAAGCCCTGACCCGGGAACAGGCTGGGCACCCCAGCCAGCCGGGAGAGCTCCTGCGCCCACACCCCCCAGCCCTGTCCTGGACCACACGGCCCTCCTCTCGGGGCAGTAGGAAGGGCCTGGCGGTAGGAACTAGGATGGCCTGGAGCAGCTGGTGCCTGACCCATGTGGGGCCCCTCAGGGCCCTCTTCTCGCCACGCCTGATTCCCGCCCGCAGTGGCTGGGGGTCACTCGTCCTCCCCCCCCCCCCCGTTCTGTGTTGCAGCCAGCCCCAGGCCCAGGCGAGGGCTCCGCCCCCTCCTGCCCGGACACCTCTGCCGACCTGGACACAGACCTGCACGTGCTGAGGACCCGGCGTGCCCGGCATGCCCGGAAGCGCAGGCGGCTGCTGTGAGGGCAGGTGAGGGGGTGGGCACCGCCCTTGCGGCCAGGAGGAAGCAGGGGCGGGGGCCACGAGGGCTGTGGGGGACCGTCCAGTTGGCCTCCTGTGGAGCCCATCCTTGGGCTCTAGTGCCCAGGCATGGCCCTGCCTCACGGGCCATCAGACACGGGACAGGTGGTCCAGCAGGTGCACAGTTGGCACAGTGTTGGCCTTGGTCCCTGTACCTCACAGCATTGCCCATGGGGTCTGGCTGGGTGTGCCTGGGACTCCACCAGGGTGTTTGTGCTCCAGGACAAGGACACCCCAAAAGCCACAGCTGCAGCTGAGGAGAGGCAGGGCCCCATCAGCCCCAACAGCTGCCACCGCCCCACAGGAGAAAGCGCCAGAGGCCAGGGGAGCCGGTGCCGGACCTTTGTTGGCAGTGGGGGGGGGCCTCAAACAGACCATGTCATCACGGGCATAGCTGGTCCCCAAGTGCAAACCTGACCATTTGAAGGAATAAAGTTCTATTTTTTAATTAAAAAGCAAGACATGGCTCTGGTGGTTTTGTTGTCTCGGGATGCTGAGCACGTACAGGGAGCTTCCTCCTGGCACCACTGGACCAGCCACTGGGTCCTGGTGGTCTCCTGTGCCCGGGGCTGCCTCGCGGACCATGACCCCATGACCCTGGGCCTCAGCCCGAGTGAGGGGACAGGTTCTTGCCTTCGTGGGCGACATTTGTGGCTCCGGCCTTCAGGCGGGGCCTGTGCCCTCTGCAGGCGGCTGCCAGCCCTCGTGCTGCCCGGGCCGACCCCAGCGGCTCCCCTGGGACCAGCTGCCACCTGGCTGCGCACAGTCACAGCGGTGGCTCCCTCCCTCCTGCATGGGCGTCTCCGGCACGAGACCAGGTCCCGGCTGCAGCAGTGTCCCCTGCGTGTCCTGTGTCCCTCCGCGGTGACAATGCCCAAGGCCCTGGGCTCTCCTGTGAGCTCCGTCGCACAGTGACCGCTGTGGGCAGCCCGTCTGCCCTGAGCCCCGCAGATGGCACGCCCTCCTCGCGCCAGTGCCCTGCGAGCTCATTCTGGGCTTCCACACCACCTCCGCGGACCTGTGCACGCCTCAGGTTTGTCATGCAATTTCCAAATACTTGGGAATTTTCCAGATATCTCTGTTACTGATTTCTAGCTTAATTCTGATATGGTCAGAGAACGTAGCATTTCCATTCATTGTCAAGGACACACACCACAAGGAAGGCACCGTTGTCTTCGTTTCACACACGGGGAAGCTGTCGGAGGGCTGACCACCCGGGCCACCCGCAGCAGCAGGACCCCAGGGCCCCACTCACACCCCGCACGCCAGGCCCATGCAGGGCACGGCCTCCCAAAACGCAGCTCCCTCGGGGCCCAGGAAGACCCAGCTGCCCGCTCCTCCCTGCATGACGTCCGGGGCTGTCGTCCTGCAGAGGCCAGCAGGAGGGACGGGCCGAGGGCTGAGGGCCAGCGGGCGACGGGAAGGGAGTGGTCAGGTGAGCTCCGCGCCAGCTTCCCGCCTTTCCCGTGCAGCTGCCGGGCGGCAGCTCGGTTAACCGGCTACACCAGGTGAGGCGAGGCTTGGGGTTCCCAGACTGCGTTGAAGATGAGGGTCTGGCTGTACCAGAGCCTGCAGTCCACAGAGGACTCTGCAGCTGTTGTCCACGAACATGCCCTGCCACCGACAGCCCTTCTGAAGCTGGCTCGGGGTCCCCGAAGTGGCCTCCCAGTCCGCACAGTGGGGCCTGGTAGAGAGGGAGGTGCACAGAGGGGAGGATGCCGTGGAGGGTGTCAGGGACTACACTTCTGGACATTTCTTGCTCCCGTCTGGGAGGGACACGGCATGCTAACTGGTGCCCACGGCCCTGAAGCCTGGGCCCGCCTGCCCCCCAGGACGCCGTGAGTTGGGCTGCTGGCCCTTGTGTGACCCAAGCATGTGCTGGCCCTGTCGTGTGGGTGTGAGCCGGGCTTGGGTGAGCTCTCCCCTGCCGCGCCCCATGGGTCTGCCGCAGCCAGCCAGCCCCAAGGCCACACTACCGTCCCCAAGACAGCTGGCAAGGGTGCAGGCGTCAGGCACAGAGCACCCCCGCTGGAGGAGCCCCCAGAAGCCTGTGTCCGGCCTCCTCCAGCCCACAGGAGGCCTCTGCTCTCCCTTCCACCTGCCGGGTGCCGGGGCCAGGCCCCCAGGGCGGCCCCAGGACCCAGGACCCCTGGCCACCAACAGGGCTCCTAGCAGCTTTCCTCTGGAGGGCGGAGGACTTCCACTTCCCTGGCCCCACCTCCTGGGGCCGCCCTGGCTGGGTGGATCGGAAGGCAGGCCACCGGCACTGGCCCCTGGGGAGGCCGGGCAGCCAGACCGCCAGGAAGTGCACGGGCCGCCTCGTGCCCCGGCTCCTCCCTCCTCCAGCTGCCTGTCTCCCAGCGGGCGCTGCTGGCTACTGCGCGTCTGGTGCCTGCGGCGCAGGTGGCCCTGGAGGACCCTGAGGTAGGTCGGTCAGCTGGGAAGACCAGGGGCGGCTATTTTTTGGGGACCTGGAGCAAATAGCCCAGAGCAGCACTCCGTTTCTGACGGCCGGCCAGGCGGGCTCCACTGTGCTGCCCGTCACAGCCCCGTGAACACCAGCTCCTTTCCGTGGCACCAGCAGTGGGAGTCAGATGTGGCTCGAGCAGATTTGGGGCCAGAAAGGCAGCAGTGGGCCCGTGTCCTGGGGAGCCACGGGGTTGGTAGGCAGTCCCTCCTGTCACCGGGCTGCGTGGATGACAGCACAGCAGGAAGTTGAGAAATTTCTCCGAAGACCAAGCCAGCCGCAGCCCATGTCTCCAGGAGCCGTGATCTAGCCCCCGGGGGCTGGACCCCAGCGTGTCCCGGGGGCTGGAGGCATCGGAGGGGCTGTGTCCTGCCGGCTACGCCCAGCCTTGGCCCAGTCCAGGGAGGGCACCTTCCAGCTGGGGAAGGGGACAGCTGGGGGGCTCCGAGAGAGCTGGCCTGACCACCTCGAGGTGTGGCTGGGGGCTGGGCTTCCTCTGGGGTGAAGAGCGCGGGAAGCCACTGGTGCCCAGCACCCCGGGACCCCCCTGCAGCCGTGGGCCACATCGCCAGCCCCTCCCCGGCCCCCGTGCCTGGCAGGGGTGACACACCCACTCCTGTGGGCAGGCCTCCGTCACTCTTCCAGGCCGGCACGGTGACAAGCAGCCGCCAAGGGCCACCGCCACCACCGCCGCCGAGGGAAGCAGGGCGCGGGCCTGGGCGGTGAGTGGCGCTGAGCGATGAGGAAGTCCCGCACACACGGACGCTCCCTGGGGCCGACCATCGCGAATCCGGGAGGGTTACCGGCCCCTGGCCGGCCAGAGGCTGGACCCACCTCCCCAGGGCCGCGCAAGGGCATGGCGCCAGGCAGGGCAGCCCCCGGGTGCAAACAGCTGCATCCCCTGCGAGGGCGGGAAGCGGCCGCCCCTGCAGGCTCAGGGCACTTTGCAGGGTCGGGCGGGAACGGGAGGCGGAGACCCTCAGCTGCCCTCCCCACCCCAGCCGCCCCCGCGAGGCCATGTCGGACTACGAGAACGACGACGAGTGCTGGACGGCCCTGGAGGGCTTCCGGGTGACGCTCACCTCGGTCATCGACCCCTCGCGCATCACGCCCTACCTGCGGCAGTGCAAGGTGCTGAACCCCGACGACGAGGAGCAGGTGCTCAGCGACCCCAGCCTGGTCACCCGCAAGCGGAAGGCAGGTCGGTGCCGCGGCAGGCCACCCGCCGCCCCCAACCCAGCCAGGGGGCCCTGCCAGCTTTGTCCCGGCCCCCGTGAGCCCAACCCTCAGGGGGAGCCCCCCACCCCCACCCCCAGCCCCCTGCTGTCAGCAGCTGCTGCGCAGAGGAGGGTGGGGCAGCCCCCGCCTCCCCCACCCCCAGCCCCCTGCTGTCAGCAGCTGCTGCGCAGAGGAGGGTGGGGCAGCCCCCGCCTCACCGGGGCCCCACCACACCAGGGGTGGGAGGCGGGACCCCCCAGCCCGGCTGCCCTCTGCCCGGAGCACGCCCACCAGTCCCGGCCCGGCCTGGGCCCGCAGGTGTGCTCCTGGACACCCTGCAGCGCACGGGCCACAAGGGCTACGTGGCCTTCCTGGAGAGCCTGGAGCTGTACTACCCGCAGCTGTACAAGAAGGTCACGGGCAAGGAGCCCTCCCGCGTCTTCTCCATGATCATCGGTGAGGCCCGCCCACTCCGCTGCCCACCCCCACGTGGGGGTGGAGAACAGGGCGTGGGCTGCGGTGGGGGGGCGATCCCCTGGTCACGCCTCTGCTATCGCGGTCAGAGCTCCCCGCCAGGCGGGGGTCCCAGGGGCCCCAGGAAGGGCAGCAGCAGGGGCGGGAACCCCCTGGTGGCCCCGATGCTCACCCAGATGAGGATGTGGCCCCCACAGCCCTGCCGCGGCCACAGCCCTGCTGCCGAGGAGCCCGTCCCGCGGGTCCAGCAGCCAAAGGATGCTCTCCCGGCGGGCGGGGAATCTCGTCCCATCTTTTTTTGTTTTTGTTTTTGTTTTGAGACAGAGTCTTGCTTTGTTGCCCAGGCTAGAGTGAGTGCCATGGCATCAGCCTGGCTCACAGCAACCTCAAACTGTTGTGCTCAAGCAATCCTGCTGCCTCAGCCTCCCGAGTAGCTGGGACTACAGGCATGCGCCACCATGCCCGGCTAATTTTATATATATATATCAGGTGGCCAATTAATTTGTTTCTATTTATAGTAGAGACGGGGTCTCGCTCTTGCTCAGGCTGGTTTTGAACTCCTGACCTCGAGCAATCCACCCGCCTCGGCCTCCCAGAGAGCTAGGATTACAGGCGTGAGCCGCCGCGCCCGGCTCGCCCCGTCTTTGGTTAAGGCCCAGCATCACGTGAGACAAAGGGGGCAGCCTGGTGCCGGCCGCCCCATGCAGAACCTGGGTCCCTTCCCCGGCACTAGGCAGCCGGGGCGCCCGGGGAGAAGGGCCTCTTCGGGGCCAGCTTCTGTCCTCGGGGTCCCGGCGTGTCCCCTCGGCCTGGCCGGCGTCCCCAGGAGCCTCGGGTGCTGCTGGTCTCTCCGAGGCCCGGGCGGGAGCCGCGGGGGCCGTCGCCTGACGCCGGCCTCGCGCAGATGCGTCCGGGGAGTCGGGCCTGACGCAGCTGCTGATGACGGAGGTGATGAAGCTGCAGAAGAAGGTGCAGGACCTGACGGTGCTGCTGCGCTCCAAGGACGACTTCATCGAGGAGCTGCGCCTGAAGGACGGGCTGCTGCGCAAGCACCAGGAGCGCGTGCAGCGGCTCAGGGAGGAGTGCGAGGCGGGCGGCCGCGAGCTCAAGCGCTGCAAGGACGAGAACTACGACCTGGCCATGCGCCTGGCCCGCCAGAGCGAGGAGAAGGGCGCTGCGCTCATGCGGAACCGCGACCTGCAGCTCGAGGTGATGAGGCGCTTCTCTGGGGGACAGGGGGGTGGGGGACGCGGGGGGCGCCCCGCTCGCTCGCCTGGCTGGGCTGGGGGGCTGCGGGCGGGGGCGGGGGCCGGCCGGCTCACGGCCCGTGCACAGGTCGACCGGCTCAAGCACAGCCTCATGAAGGCGGAGGAGGACTGCACGGTGGAGCGCAAGCACACGCTGAAGCTCCGGCACGCCATGGAGCAGCGGCCCAGCCAGGAGCTGCTCTGGGAGCTGCAGCAGGAGAAGGCCCAGCTGCAGGCCCGGCTGCAGAGCCTGGAGGCCTCCGTCCAGGTGGGGCCGAGGGCCGCGGGCGGGCCGGGCCGGGCGCGTGGGGGGCATGCCCGGCACTACAGCGGCCGTCTGCCCCGCAGGAGGGGAAGCTGGGCAGGGGCAGCCCCTACATCCAGGTGCTGGAGGAGGACTGGCGGCAGGCGCTGCGCGACCAGCAGGAGCAGGCCAGCACCATCTTCTCCCTGCGCAAGGACCTCCGCCAGGGCGAGGCCCTGCGCGTCCGGGTAGGCGGGCAGGGCAGGGGGACGCTGCGCCGCACGGGGCCCAGCCGGGCGGGGTGGCTGCGTGTCCGCTCCGTGCCCTGCAGGCGGGTGGTGCCGGGGCCTGGGCTCCGCGTCTCCACTTCACCCACCCCCTGGTGCCCGCTCCTGGCCGCGTCCCCCGTGGGGAGGCCCAGCCGTGGTGCCGTGGGCGGGACGCACGGGGCTCCTGCAGCCGCCCTGGGTACGAGTGTCCCCGGGATCCCGCCCTGGGCACACCCCGGGGGCCTTGGCTGGGCGCAGGGGGCTGAGCCGCCGTCCCCGGCAGTGCATGGAGGAGAAGGAGATGTTCGAGCTGCAGTGCCTGGCCCTGCGCAAGGACTCCAAGATGTACAAGGAGCGCATCGAGGCCATCCTGCAGCAGATGGAGGAGGTGGCCATCGAGCGGGACCAGGTGGGCCTCGCCGTGGCGGAGGGAGGGCCGGGGCGCCCCCGCGCAGGAGCCTCTCTGGGGCTGTTGTCCAGTTGTTTTCAAACGACAGAAGTAACGCGTGATCATTCTCACGCAGGCAATAACGAAGTTAACCTCCCCTGCCCCACCCTGCCTGCTCTCTGGGGAAACCACGTCCACCCTGGGACCCCCATTCCAGCCCCCTGTGTCCCCCATGGGCATATAGTTTTGGGGTTTGGTTCAGAAAAATGGGAGCTTTCCATCTGTCTCATTTTGCAAGTAGAATTTGTATCTCTAAAAAAAACTGGGCCCCTCGGCATCCGTGGCATCTGGGGGCATTCTTGTGAACACAATGGGCTGTGTCTGCTTCGGCGTTTCCTTCCCAAGTAGCGTCCTGAGCTGGTTTCTAACCAACACAGCCGGCGCTGCTGGGCGCTTCCGCGAGATGCTGGGAATTGGGCCCCAGGTACCAGCAGCCTGAAACACAGACCCCTCCCCGCCGGGAGAGAAGCCAGGGCCTTGGCCTTGCTGGAGGCCCCAGGCGGGCAGGGGAGGGGCTTCTGGCCGGTGTCCAGCGGGGTCGGGCAGGGGCATGTTTGGCCTTTACTGGCTGGTCCCAAGTCGGAAGTGGGGGCAAAAGTTAGGGGAGCGGCCAGTGATGACCGACATCTGGCCATCTGGGGCCGACAGCCACGGGGGCCCTGGTGGCCTCTGGGCTACTTGCCGTGTCCTTGTGGTCTGGTGGCCAGCCGTTTGCACCCTCAGCGTCCCTGCGGGGGCGGGCACAGAAGCGCGCTGTGCATGTTTGCAAGAATCTCACACAGCCGGGAGCCATCACATCCTCGATATCAAGCTACAGCCAAAATTCGTAAAATGCACGCTTACGTGCAGAGGAGCCTACAGGTGTGCCGAGTCCACCTGCGGTGTAGACCGGAGACCACCCAGGGCAGCAGGGCCGTTTTGGTGCTGAATGTGGAGACTTCTGTTTTCCTTGCACATGTAGGCACCCACTGGTGCCCTCAGCATCCTCCGTTACTTTTACAATCCACGGAGAACAAAGAGGAAGAGGCCGGTGCTGCCTGGTCCCCTTGGGCCCGGTGCCTCCGTGGCGGCTCTGGCTTGGTGTTCAGCGGGGGCCCTCGCTGGGCGCCGGGGTGCTGGGAGCAGCGGGCTGCAGGGGGAGGAAGCTCCGTGGGGACCCCCCTGAGGGCCTGCCCGGGGCCGTCCCCGCAGGCCATGGCCATGCGGGAGGAGCTGCACACGCAGTACGCCCGGAGCCTGCAGGAGAAGGACGAGCTGCGCAAGCGGGTCCGCGAGCTGTGCGAGAAGGCGGACGAGCTGCAGCTGCAGCTGTTCCAGCGCGAGGCGCAGCTGCTGGCCACCGAGGGCCGGCTCAAGCGGCAGCAGCTGGAGACGCTCGTCCTGGTGGGCCTCCGGGGTGGCCGGGCCGGAAGGGAGCCTGGAAACGGAGGGGGGGGCACCAGGCGCAGGGTGCAGGGGGCCGGGGAGCCTCAGGACGGCTGCTTCCCGGTTGGTGGCCTTGGCCTTCCGTGGCCCTTTCTGAGCCCCGGAACCTCTGTAAGGTCAGCTCAGCCCCACTGAGCCCCCTCCTCGAGGTGGGGTGAGGGGTGCAACTAGTCCCAGGCCTGAGCAGGACGTGGGACTGTCTGTGGCAGTGGCCACCAGGCGGCTCTGGGTGTGGGTGGGAGGGGTGTCCCCAGGAACCCCTGCCCACCCCATGCCTGGGCCGGCTAGTGCCCCCCCCCGGACAGCTGACACCCCCCCCCATTTGCCATGGCAACAGAGCTCTGACCTGGAGGATGGCTCGCCCCGGAACTCCCAGGAGGTGAGTGTGGCCCCAGGAATGCCGGGGCCTCCGTCAGCCTGGCCGGGCAGCGGAGTGCCTGGGAAGCTCTGCAGGGGTGGCAGCGGTGGCTGTACCCAGCTGAGGGGCAGGAGCAGCGGGAGGGCAGTGGCTCCAGAGCGGCCTAACTGGACTACCTGCCTCTCCCCGGAAGCTCTCGCTCCCCCAGGACCTGGAGGAGGACGCCCGCCTCTCGGACAAAGGTGAGGGCCGTGCGCCTGCATGTGCTAGGGCTGCGACCCCCCTGGTCAGCCTGAGCCACAGCCAATCACTTCCTGCCCCAGTCTTCCAGCCCCTACTTTATGTATGGGGAAACCGAGGCTCGGAGGGGGATAAGTACTCTGGTCAAGGCCACCCAGAAGCAAACTAGAGAGCCTGACTGGAACCCAGGGCCAGGAGGACACATCCCAGCATAGTGGGCGTGGGGTCCCCTGGGGATGGTGTGGAGGTGAGCAGGCCCCGCCCACCCTGCTTCCTGGGGGGGGGGAGGGGACATAAGCTGATCCCCAGGTTCTGGGGCTAGAAAGGGGGGACACCCGTGGCCCGAGGGATGGGTGGAGTGCAGGGGTGGCTGAGGGCCTGCTGTGTCCTGGGGCACAGGGGCTTCAGCAGGTGGGCAGGACCCCTCTGCCCACCCAGAAGGGGACTGGTGGGGCCGGGGAGGAGCAGCAGCTGCGGCCGTCCCCAAGAGCTGGCAGTTCTGACCGGGTGGAGGGGAGAGGTTTCGTGGGAAGTCAGACAGACTTCCTCAGCGTCAGGCCTGACCCCAACCTCTAAGCCGAGCAGAAGGGGAAGAAGGGGCCGCAGATGGAGAAGTGGGGGCCTTGCAGCCCAACAGACGTGCGCTTGAGGCCGCCAGCCCCATGTGGCGCAGAGAGGGGGCGGGAGTCCCCGGCTCAGGCAGCTCCTGCGGGCACTGGTGGGGCAGGAGCGAGTAGGGCAGGGTGTCAGCTCCAAGGAGGGGCTGCCACTTGGCCAGCACAGCCTGGGCCCGGCCTCTCCCCACGGTGCCACCTGAGACTGGATGTGCAAGGTCCTGCCTGGCCACCTGTGCACCTTCTGCCCAGGGGCCCAAGCCCTGGTCTGCCCAGGCCCTGGCAGATTCTGACGGGGTCCAGCCTCAGACCCTCCTGCCCCGACCTGCTGCAGTGCCCGGCCTCCACCTCCCCTGTGGCCGCCTCCAACCTACTCCCCAAGAGCTGCTCCGCCTGTAGACGCTGCCAAGGGGCTGGGGCCTGGTCAGGCCTGGGCTTAAGTGGGCAAACTCTCCCATGGGCCACTTCCTGCCCACCTGTCCTCAGTGGTTGGGGGCAGCCAGTCTGGAGGAGCAGACAGGGCTGGCAGGAGCACCTGCCTCGAGGCCCCCCCTCACCCCGGGAGTGAGGAGAAGGCCTCAGCCTGTCTCCTGGTCTGTAAAATGCGAAGTCTTCGCTGGATCCCTGGGAGGTTCCCACAGGACCCTGGAGACTGGCCCCAGGTCGTGTCCAGCATTGGCGGGGGTGGGGGGGGGCGCCATGCTGAGCGCAGTCTGCAGAGCGGGCAGGACCCACGGGCACAACTGTCCTTTCCAGGCCTGGCTGACGGGGAGCACCCGGAGCAGCCCTCTGCGGCCCCGCAGAAGGAACACCTTTCACTGACACCCAACGTAAGGCTGCCTGGGGTCCCCTAAGCTGAGGTCTCCTGGCCTCAGTGTGAGTGCTCAGCAGCTGGGGCCGCCCCCATGGCCCCTGGACGGCTAGGTGACCACAATGCCTCTGCCTTTGGGCACTTGGGGTAGGGTGTTTGGAACAAGAAGGGGACCACCCTCCCCTTGCCCACAGAGCAACAGGCTTGGGTGGGCTTGGGAGTGGACGTGCCGGGTGGGGCGGCCCTGGACGATGGCTGTTTGTGGTCCTTGGGGGCCTTTGCAGCAGGTCAGCATTGACCTTCGTGGGTTAACTCGGAAGTCCTGACAGCAAAGGGGCAGCCTCTGGCTTTGTAGTAGAAGGAACACCCGCTGGGAGTCCAGGCCTAGCCCACTGGCTGCGTGTCCTGGGCCTCTGCCTTGTTATCTGGAAGGCAGGACACAGACACTGGCTGGCCTCAGGGGTACGGGCAGGTCCCCAGGTGACCAGCCTGCCTCCTCTCTGAGCTCAGGCCGTCTGGGCCCCAGTCTGCCCTGCAGTTCGCAGCCCAGGGCCTGGTGGAGGGTGTGCGCAGGGCGTCCGGCTGGAGCCTGAGCCTCCCCCTCTCCAGGACACAGGCCTGACCAGCGGGGAGCCCCCGGAGAAGGAGCGGCGGCGCCTCAAGGAGAGTTTCGAGAACTACCGCAGGTGAGTGCGACGGCCGGGCGGGCAGGGCGGGGGCGGGGCCGGCCTGGCGGGCGCGTCTGGACACCTCGGTCCCCGCAGGAAGCGCGCCCTCAGGAAGATGAAGAACAGCTGCAGACAGGGCGAGGCGGACCGCGGGAACAGCTCGGGCAGCGACAACACCGACGCCGAGGGCTGCTAGCGGGCGTGGGGGCCGCGGCCGACGGGAGCCCGGGGCTGCGCCGCGGGCTGCGCCCGCCCGAGGGCGCGGGCTGGGCCCCGCCGGCGAAACCCCCGCGGCGGTTCTTGCTGCCCGACGCGCTCGCGCTGTGGAAGCGGCGGGAACGAGGCTGAGCAATAAACAACAAAAAGGAACAGTCCCTGTCCGCTTCGCGCCCGCGGGACCCCGGGCGGCGGGGCGTGCGGAAGCCCCAGCACGGCGGCGCTGCGAGGCCCGCGCGCGAGCGCACGGCCCCGCCAGGGGGCAGCAGAGCGCAGCGCTCCCGTCCCGGCGGACGGAAGCCAAGGGCCACTTCCGCTCACGGGGCCAGCTTCCAAGATGGCGGGCGCGGCTTCAGCCGTGGGGGGCGGGGAAGGGGGTGGAGCCGGGCGGCCGCGGCCGGCGGGCGGGATGCTGCGAGCGACGCTGAGGCTGCTGAGCCATGTGCGGCCCCGAGGACCCGACGCGCGGCAGCTGTGGGGCCGCGGTGCCCGGCCGGAGGCCACGAGGAGGCGGCGAGCCTGGGGCTGGGGGTGGCGGCACTCGAGCTCCGAGCTGGGGCCGGGGCGCGTGGAGGCGGCGCACTACCAGCTCGTCTACACCTGTAAGGTGGGCGCGCGGCGGGGCGCGGCCGGGCTCGCACCGGGCGCGGCGTGGAGAAGCGGCCCCAGCGGGCCTTCCGGGCGGGGGCGGGGCGGGCCACGAGAAGGGGTGGAGCTAGTTCCCAGGGGGCGGGGCGGGCCACGGGAAGGGGTGGAACTAGCTTCCGGAGGCGGGGCCACGGCACGGGGTGGGTGGAACTAGTCTCCAGGGGGCGGAGCCACGGCAAGGGGTGGGTGGAACTAGTCTCCAGGGGGCGGAGCCACGGCAAGGGGTGGGTGGAACTAGTCTCCAGGGGGCGGAGCCACGGCGAGGGGTGGGTGAAGCTAGTCTCTAGGGGGCGGGGTGGACCACGGGAAGGGGTGGGGCTAGCTTCCAGGGGCGGGGCGGGCCACGGACGGGGCGGGGCGATCGCGTGGGCGGGGCTAGGCCTCACACCGGGCGGGCTCGGGTCCTCAGCGGCTCTCCGCCCGGCCAGGTGTGCGGGGCTCGGTCCTCCAAGCGCATCTCCAAGCTGGCCTATCACCAGGGCGTGGTCATCGTGACCTGCCCCGGCTGCCGGAGCCATCACATCATCGCCGACAACCTGGGCTGGTTCTCCGACCTGGACGGGAAGAGGTGAGGCCTGCGCCCGTCGCGGGCTGTGGGGACTGGGTCAGGAGCCCCCGCAGGGCACCTGGCCTCCCCGGGGCATTGTGCGTGCCCCCCGGCGTGGCGGTTCACAGGTTCACCTGGGCAACCCAACTTCCTCATCAACACGGGACGGTTAGGTCTGGGTTTCAGGTGAACCGCAGAGGCGGGCGCCCTGGCCAGCCACGGTGCACACTGCCTGACTGCCGCTCGCACCCACCCACGGCCTCCCTATGCTTTGCGTTCTCGGGGTGGTTGCCCCAGGGTGGGGCGTGGGGGTGTGGCAGGCGGTGTGGACTGACCCTGGCCCTGAGGGTCGCTGCCGCCTTTCGGGGAGGGCACTGGAGGTGGGGTCAGGAGCCGGCCGGGAGGCCCCGGGCAGGACCCGCAGCAGAAGGTCCGTGGAGTCAGCACGGAAGGTGCGAAGGTGTTCGGAGGTGCCCTCTGGCCTCCAGCCGTCCTCCCGCCACACCTGGGCTGTGCAGAGCTCCTCCCCTCTGACGCGTGGGGTGCGGGGTCTGCTGCGCAGTGGTCGCAGAGGGAGGAGCCGGGGCTGAGGCGCCCTGGGTGGACTGCCCCACCGCAGCTGAGAGGAGAACCTCATGATCCTCAGTCCCTGGAGTGGCCGACAGAGCCCCGGGGGTGGGTGAGGGTGCACAGGCCTGGTCAGGTGCCACACAAGGGCCTGGTGGCGGGGTGCCCTCAAGGGACCGGGGTGCAGGAGGGGCCGCCGGGCCTGGCGAGTGACTGTGTGCCCGCCTCGCAGGAACATCGAAGAGATCCTGGCGGCCAGAGGGGAGCAGGTGCGCCGAGTGGCTGCGGAGGGGGCCCTGGAACTGGTTTTGGAGGCTGCAGGGGCCCCCACATCCACTTCTGCTCCGGAAGGGGGTGAGGACGAGGACCGCAGCCTCCCTGGCAAGGCGGAGCCCAGCTGACTCCCACGCTCGCTGGCGCTGTGGGACTTGTGCCTTCCGGAAGGATGTTTCGGCCCTGGGCCTCCCTGGACGTGGCCTGTTTTCTATCAATAAACAGACGTCACTTCCAGATGCTGGGGCCTGCGGCTCTGGCGTTTCTTTTTCTGGAGTTGGAAGGACAGCCAGGAACCCCCAGCGCTGCCGGGTGGGGCTCCGCGGCCGCACGCCCCGGCCTCAGCCTTTCCCGCTGCAGAGTCGCCGCGCCTTGCCCACAGCAGGGCCACGTCCAGGTGCGAGGGGGCTGGACGTGGGGTCAGACCCCTCCAGGCTGTGGCTGTGTGGCCTTGGGCAGGTCACTTTGCCCCTCTGGGCCTCTGCTTTCCTGGCACCCCTGCACGGCACTGGCTTCCTCACCGCAGCCAGCGCTGATCTCAGTCTGGCCGGACTGCACTGTGGCCGCCAGCAGGACTAGCACGGGGGCTCGGGAGGGCGTGTGAGCCGGGGCTGAGTGCCCTGTCCTGGGTCAGTAGCCAGTGTCCCCATGCCTCCTGGGCATGAGTGGTTGGTCTCCCAGCCTCCTTTGCACCCTCAGGACGCTCCTGTGTTTATGACAGCGAGCAAACGCAGGAGCGTGTTTATTCCCAGAAGTGTTCTGGGCCGTGTGACCTTCCGCATTAGTCACCAGTCTTGCGGGGAAGAGCCTGGCTGACACATGTGGCCCCTCCCCACAGGTGTCAGCTAGTGATTACCGGCTCACGCGGGGCTGTGGGAGGCTGGGGGCGGTGGCATTGTTCCCGGCATGAGCTCTGACTCGATTACCCCCTGTCCTCCCCTCGGCAAGCAACCCTGTATTACTGCCGCCCAGAGCCTCCTGCACCGTGTGCGCAAACCCGTCATCCTTGGGGCTGAGCCAGCCCCGCACACCTGGGCCTGCTTCTCCGTTGACGGCCCCGGCCATGGGGCAGCTGGGGGTTTCCTGGGCGCCGCCGGGGCTGGGCTTGGCCCCGCTGCCTTGCTGACTCCGGGGCTCTGGACCCGATTCACTGACGAGAGTCACGTCATGGGCCTGCTCCTCCCACAAGCGTGGTCTGGTCCTTGCCTATTCCTCTGTGCCCTGCCCTGCCCACCTCTCCACACTCAGACAAGCAGGTGGGCTGCCGGGGCCTTGCCCAGCAGCGAGCCCACCTGCCACCCTGCAGGGCCGAGCTCAGCCCTTCGCCCCGCCTGGCGGTCCTCGCTCAGCGTACTGCTCCGTCCTGCACGACTGCTTCTCCCACCCAGCCGTGCGGGGGCGGGGACCCTGAGCAGACCCGGGCTGGAAATCCCTAAAGTGGGCTTGAGGCAGCCTGGCTCAAGCCCTGGGGGACCGAAGGCTCCCGGAGGTGCCTCTGTGGCCCAGACTTGGTCCTATGGCTTTAGGCCCTGGAGTCGGAACTGTTCTACCCAAGCCCCCTCTGCAGGGGGGGAGGTGGCAGGGGTCCAGGCAGGGCGCCAGGGGAGCATGGCTGGCTGCTGCTGTGCGTGGGGTGGCCTGGCTGGCATGTGTCCAACTGCCTGGGATGACTGTGTCCCCGGAGCCCTCTGGGGGTCCCGGGTGGGACGAGCCCCAGGGCTGCCCCCTGCTCTGAGCCGTTTCATGGTGTCTGGACCTGTGGGACCCGGAGCCCCGAGGGGCCAGGCTCCTGGGACAAAGCCCTCTGGGCTGGGCTGGGGGCTGCGTGGATGACCACAGGGCTGACCCAGAGGGAGGCTGCTCCGGGGCCTCCTGCTCTGGCTCCTGCCCCCTCCGTCCTCCAGGAGGTGAGGCGTGTGGGGGGCCTTCACCCCTGTGGGCTCCTCTGCCCAGCTTTCCCTGCTAAATGCAGAGGGACCCCTCCCCCAGTGGTCTCTGGGCAGCCCTGGGGCTCCCAGAAGCGCCAAACGCTGGTCTAATCCCGAGACAGTCGGCACTCGCTTGGCAGACTTTATTTTTTGGGAAAAACAGAAAACCAAGTGTACCTCTTGGGTTGGAAAGGACCCACTGACAACATGGCAAACACGTGTGAGCAATAAATACGCATATACATTCAAGTATGCGGGGGCAGCGCTGCGTCCCCGGGGGACCCTGTGCCCTGGCGTCTGCCCTGCCCTCGTCACAAGTGGGGCCACCACGCTGAGCCCAGGGCCAGCCCTCACCCTCCCCTGCGGGGCTTCCAGGCCGTACCACGGGGCGGGTCCAGGCCACCTCCCCAGGCCCGGGACACCACCCAGAGGGGAGGCCACCCCCCGCCCCAGGGGCTCTCCAGAAGGGTGGCCAGGAGCGTGAGGCCACCGTCTCCAGAGGCTCCAGCGGGTCCTGCCTGAGTCTCTGGGCCTGAGCTTTGTGTCCGTGGGATCTCAGGTGGGGGGGACTAGACCCCCGTGGGGACGAGGCAGTGATGTCATCACCCTCAGCTGAGGGAGGGGAGGAGGGCTGGGTGGAGCCAAGTCCCTTCCAGCTTTCGCTGACCCACTGACTCGGTGACGGCCACAGAGCCTAGTCCCACTCTGGGTACAGATGTCCCTGCCCGCCAGAGGCCCCAGGACCAGGCCCTGCTTGCGTTCTGGGACTTGGAGTTGAGGAATGCTGAGGTTTGTGCCCGTCCTTCCCTCCACAAGGCCCCCACTGGCTCAGGACACCTGCCAGGGCCAGGGACTCAGGGGCACCTTCGCTGCCCTGTGCCGCCCGGTCGGGGTGGGCTTTCTGTGGCTAACGACCTCCCCCTCCTCCCGCTGGGGCAGGAGTCGGGGGACTGGCTCAGGGGCAGCCCTGCCCAGGGACCAGGCCAGAGGGCCTTGAGCGTGTCTGCCACGTGGCCATCCTGGGACCAGCTTTGGGGGCAGGACGTGCCCATGTTGCTGGAAGCCCCAAGAGGCTTCAGAGACACCTTTGGGGGTTGGGAGAAGACGGCAGGGCTTCACATTTGGCCGGGCAGGACGAACCTGGGAAGGGGGTGTGGGCAGAGGGCGGGGAGGGTCTGGGCAGTGCCGGGTCTGGGGCCAACATGCTGAAGGCCGGGCCAGCCTGGGGCAGGGGCAGGGGCAGGGGCAG